CAGCATTGGTTTAGCTGAAATTCTCATTTTCCTCCCTTTGCTGGCTTTATCACAAATTACCTAATACGTGCTCTGAGCACAACTTCCACAGTGCAAATGAGGCAAATGGAAAGGCAGATCTGGTGACTGTCCTCCAGTAAGCTTTTCTGTAAATCATTCCAAGAATTCTACGCCCCTTTCCTTTTAAATTCTTTTCTTGAACATGTTCCAATCCTTCACATATGTTCTTTCTTTCTTCTCCCAATTCTGGTGCCAAGATCCCCCCTCTATCTTTTTAGTCAATTTGGCCACTGCTTTTCACTGGGAGGAGGCCTCTCCTTTGCCCTGAGCACCTGATCATTTGAATAAACTTTTCAATCATACTGCAACATGGGGCACAAACTTCACTTTAACTGATAAAAAGCACTTTAAGATCAAGTTCAGCTTGAAGATAGGTCTAAGTTAAAAGTCAGTAAGATTAATTTATTTAAATTAAACCTGGCTACATTTAAAAAGTGCAACAAAAGGAATGTGCTAATGCAAGCCTCATTGTTTTACTTAATTACATGCCAGATGACAGTGGCAGCTCTGTGCTGGCAGGTCTGGACACTAGAACGGCGCCTTTGGGAGAACAGGGTCTTCTGTAGTATTTATAAGGTAGATTATTGAACACACAACACACATACACACACAATTGAGGACAAGCGAAAAAAGGAAGAGTTAAGGGAAAAATAAGGTATGAGTCTTTTCTCTGCCTTAAACCACAATTAATTAAATGCTGAAAAGTTATCCTGGTAGAATGAAAGGCTAAGGAGAGGAAATCACCTACCCCCCATGACCTGTGAGATCAGTGATTTTAATAGATCAAGTAACACATTAAAGGGAGGAACTATGAAGGACATTACTATGGAGATTTAAATAAGACTTTATGCTTTGATAGTAAATAATAGTATCTGGCAACTGAGAGAGATTGAGTTCCTCATGCAAAAATTAAATGTAAGTATATTTGTACAAACTTTCAAAACACAATTATTTTCCTAAAAGACACTAATCAAGGCAGGAAAACTAAACCAATAGAGTTGACAAGAGAATGTGTTAACAGAATCCTTCTTAAAAGCATTTACTTTCTGATATTCAGACACAGAGAATGAAGGTCAAGCCCCATCCTCAAATGCATCTATACAAGACTTTTTATGTAATAGTTGGATAAACATTATAATATTATTTTACCACCACATTTGAAGCTTTAGGTAAACATTAAAAAAAAATTGACAGGCTCAATGACGACAGAATCTTCTTAGACTATTTTGATAAGATTTATATTACTACCAATAAGTTACTCAAATGTCAAAATAAAGCCAGCTACATTACTGAAAAAATTCAGCTAAGATATATTTTAGAATTTTAGGTTTTAATTGTAAATACAGTTTTAGGATACGTTTTGGAGAAATATGTAATTACAGTAATATGTGCTCATTTAAAAAATGTAGAACTTATATAGACCACACAATCACAGACATCAATTTAGGATAACTATAAAGTTATAATTTGTGATTTTATTTATTTTTTATAGCAACTTGTTCCCTCATCCAAAATAATCTATAGTAAAAAAAGAAAGTACCTTTGCAATAGATCCACATCAATATCAGTATGTCTAAATTTATTCTGCAAACTATGAAAATAATGTTCCATTTAACATTTTTAATATAAAAATCAATTTGAAACTATTTCTGTATTCAAACTGAGTGGAAAAACAACTTTTAGGGATATTTACTCCAACTGTAACTACCATTCCTGCACCCAAAATGTCTCTCTCCCCCACCCCAATCCCTACTTAAAAAGGTTCCCAAGTTAGCATTCTTCATTTCTTGTCTAAAAATAGAAAACTTAAATAATGAAGGTCAATTAGGTTTGTTTGTTTTGTTTCCAATTAAAGATTATGTTTTCATGAACCTTCATAATTTCATATACTTGCTCAATTATATCTAAAGAACTACTGTATTTTGTCTAAATCACAGTTTCCTAAAATTCCTGAATTTACCTCCCTGAAACCTTAAGTCAGTGGATTAATTTAGAATACAAAATCCAATGGACAAAAATAATCTGGATAAAAATAACTCTCTGATGCTTAATTTAGGAAATTAACATGTTGAAATTTCTGGCTCTTAGAAAGTCATTAGAAGAGGAGGAGTAATAGTAATAATCTTGTACAGACCAAAGCCACTTGGAGGCCACTTATCAAGCATTATGCACCTTTCCAAACACAGGAATAATAGGGGCAGTTTTATGTAAGAAATTAAAGTCATTTTCCCCCCCAGAGAGAATAGGCTTGACCACCAGAAACTTCTTCCCAATTACCTAACACATGCCAACATATTTCCAAACAGCAGCTACAATTTAAAGTCAAGAGCCCTACTTCTGATAAGTGTGGAAGGTGTAAAATACCAAATAAGTATCCTTCTACTGGTTGATAATAACTCAGCCTGAAGCCTAATGCTGGCAACTATTACCTGAATGTGCCAGAGGACCCTGCAATAGTACCAACAGGGTGACAGTCACCTGAAGGGTCCCTCATTTCTTTTTCTCCAGTCTCTTCCTACTTTTCAACCATTAAGAATTAACATTCTCACCCACTTCCTGGGCCTCAGTGGGCATACATATCAGTGAGCATTGAGGGCCTGTCAGTCACCTCACTTTCCATCCCCTTCCCCTATGGGCCTCCTCATGCGCCTCATCCTTGCCAAGTGTATAATGTCTGTCAATCTTGCTGTAATCGACTATACAGTTTACCTGTTGTTCTCCCAAAGTTGATCTACTGTCCCCAAAGATGCCTCTCCACCCTGTGTGTCAGTCTTTCTTTGCTCCCTGGATCTGTTTCTGACGGGAGGTTAGCCTCTTCCTGCTGGCTTTGTCTCCCGCCTTTGTGTTTTTCTCTTTACATCCCCTGACCTACCTTCTTCCCACTGTCATTCCTTCCCACGTCCTCCCCTTGGAACAGGCAAGCTTATCTCCATCTTGCAGGGCTGAGTTTCTCTCTCCTGTCTGCCTCTGTCCCTCAGCCTGCCTATCTGGCTTCCCCCATATGGGCCTCCACACTCCATGCTGGTGCTGGTCTCTTCCCTGCAGGTGCACCTGTCTAACTAACACGTGCAGTATTGTATTTCTTGTCTCTCATTGCATTCCTATTGCTGGGTGTACACTGACCTCTCAGCCATACATGAGACAGTTTCCCTGGGATTTCATGGTGAAGGTAACTTTGTCCCTCTGCATGCACTCCTCCCTCCCCTCTCAAGTCTGAGTGTTTCTCGTTATATGCCTCTCTGGAGGGTAACATATGTGCCCTGATGTGAGCACCCATGTGTCCACTCAATTCTGTGAGTGCCCTCCTGAGACCATGCTCACCGCTCTCTCTCCTGATGTTTACACCTACACTGTCCTGTGAGTTCATGTACTCACTCCCCAAGCAGTGCACAATTGAATACCTCCCGCTGTGTGCATGTTTATGTAGGGGGCCTCCCTGAATGTGTCGTCCTTGGCTCAGGTTCACACGTCCCTGTGAACCAGGGTCACACCTCCTGTGGCTCTCTACCTCTGTCTTCCTTGTATGCATTTAAAGTGCCTGGCACTAGTGGGAGCTCAACAGATGTTAAATTTCCACTTTTATCTGAATAACTGAGTTTGCATCTGAGTGTCCCTCTGTGCCTGTTTTATGACATCAGTTAATTAGAGCGTGTTTCCTTGATATGGACTGAGCTATTTGTTAGGCTGCTCTGTGAGTTATTATCTCTCCCCAACTGGCTCTCCTCTTGGAGTAAGTATTACCCGTCCACATATGGTAGATACCTCCCCTTAGGCGATGTGTCCACTCCGGTCTCCCTCATCCACACATGTCCATAAACGGCTTCTCCATGCACCCAGGTTGCAGTGTCTCTTCTCTGTCCCTCACTTTTTTTTTTTAACGTGAGGTTTGTACTCCAATTGCAGCGTGTGTGTGTGTCTACAAAAGCCTTCGCTGTACTCGAGTTGTGTACGGAACGCGGTGCGGGGTAAGACACTGGATGCAGTATATCCTCCCCCCACCCTTAACCTCGTTCCATGTCTCTACGTCCTTGAGCCCCCTTCCCCCCTTCCTCCCACCTCCCGGAGATCCGGGGCATCTTCCTGGTACGAGGAGCCTCCACCAATCTGTCCCCGTAACCGGTGCCTAGCTCCTGGGAGAGCGCTGGGTGTGTAGCTCCCTGGATCGCGGTGTTCGTGCGTCTCGGGAACCCAAAACGCCTTGTCCCCAAGTCCCTGGGAGTGCGGGGCACGAAGGTGTGTCCCCCCCCCCCACTCGTACGCGGAGCGCCTGTGTCCCAGCCTTTGTGAGTACGCGAAGCGTCCCCCCACCCTCATATGCGGAGTGCCTGTGCCCTCATCTCTGCGAGTACACGGTGTGCCCCGCCGTACACGAAGCGCCTATGTCCCCAAGTCCCTGCGAGTACAAGGTGTGCCCCAGCTCCATAAGCGGGCCGCCTAGGTCCGTCTCTGCGGGTCTACGGTGCCTGTTACCCCCAAACGCTGACGACTTGTGCCCGCAGATCCTCGGGAGTTCATCACCGGTACGCTGCACCCCCTCCCCACAACATCTCCCCCCCACCACCACCACCAGCCGTAAGCAACGTGGTTTCCTCACTCGACTCCTGGTCCCTCTCTCCCTCCCTGGGACAGAAAAAGCCAGGAAACCCGCGGGCGCCGTCGGAAAGTCCCGCAGCGGCAGCGCAGCCAAAGTAGAGCAGCGGTTGCCTCGGCCCCGCCGCCAGGGGCCGCCCGCCCGCCTGCCTCTCGGCGCCCCAGCGCCCGGCCGGCCCAGGACGGCGTCTTCTGCGACCCTGCCCGGCCCTGCGGCCACGGGCGCTGACGGCCGCGCCGGCGAGTCACAGCGCCCCCAGTCCCGCGACGGATCCCGGGGGCGGGGGATGGCGCGGCCAGGCTGTGGGGGGCGCCCTCTCCCTCTCCCTCCCTGAGCCCGGCCAGCTCACCTTGTGGCTCTGGTAGGTCTCGAGCGCCCGGATCGCCGTCTCGGTGAGCTTCACATGCAGGACGGTGATGTTGTCCTGACCCAGCCGTCCGCACGACAGTCCATAGCGCTGCTCTTCCCGCAGGCCCGCCGCCCCCCCTGCCGCCATCTTAAACTCCCCGGGCTGCCGCCGCCGACGCCGCTCCGGCTCTAGTCTCCACTGCGGCCGCGGCTGCTCGGGCTTCTGCAGCCGCCGCCACAGCTACGGCCATCCCGCGGCTGACGTACTGTCATATACTGCGCGCAGCGAGACCTCGGGCTGCCACCGCCGCCGCCGCCCCACCTCCTGCCCCCGGCCCCGCCCCCAGTTCGTCTCACTGGCCCGGTTCCCCGCAGAGCCGCCCTCATTGGCCGCCGCCCTCACAGGGGCGGAGCCCAAAGTCGCTGGAGTTTTGCTCGCAGGACGGGACATCCAAGAGGTGAGAGGCTGACGTCGAGGTGACGCGCAAACTTAATCACATCTGACGTCACGTCTGGTTGTCTAGGCTCCCCGGCCACGATTGGGCAGGCTGGATGGGGGGTCCCTTGCCAATTGGGTGTCCAAGTAGCCGGGTCTGTTTACCTGGAGTCGGAGTCCTGAGAGAGGAGGGCCCTCAACCCCAAATGTGTGTCCGAGTGGGGACTTCGTCCCCCGACGGCCGCGGGAAGCGTTTGGAGATTGGGGCGTGTGTACGGGAGATTGCGGGAGGATGCAGTAGGCGGGGTCACTGGACGGCTGCTCCTCAAAACTCGGTTTAGCGCTGTTGAGCGGATGGAATTGGGGACGGGGGGGGACGCCTTCTTAGTGTTTTCACCCTAAACTTGAAATTCGAGAGTCGACCCTACACCTTAGGTTTGTATTAGATTGTGGGGGACAGCTTCAGTACAATATCATGACTAAGGTTTAAATGCCTTTGGTGTGGTGGGTATAGCGTTACAGAAAATGGAACTTCATGGCTTTCCCACGCTGTGCCCGCTTGGGATCCCATAGGAACACGTCCCGTTCCTCTGGAGCTCGCCGTGGGGGCGGGGTTGTGTGCGCCTTTTCTCGGGGGGGGCGGGGGGTGTTCTTGGCTGGGGTGGTTCCCTCCTTTAAAGGATCCTGGGAGAGGAGAACTAGCCTCCACCTAAATCAAAGGAAACATCGACACCTCTCTGATCCGGTTTGGAGTCCTGTTCATTTTATCTGACGGGGACGTGGGCAAACCTAGCTGGGGTTTCAGCTACTGGGGTGAAGTCGGGAAGATGGGGGTGTGAGGCTGTGCGGAGGCCGGGCATAGTTTCCATTCCTCGCGCCGCTCCGCGTGCGGGCGTGGCGAGGGGAGGAACTAACGAGGAGCCCTCTTGAGGCTGTGCGTTCGTGGACGGACCCACAGGCTTCCCCGGCAGGAGGAGGCATTAACTGGGCGATCAGAAACACCCGATAGAAAACAAACCGCGGAAAGGCTTGAAAATGTTGAAAAGCAGTTTTTAAAGATGACTTCTAAAAAAAAAATATATATATATATATACTGGGACGCTTGTTGTTTCTCTCAGATTGTAAAACCTTGTTGCGTTTTACAGGGATTCCCCAGGAAAATTTACAGGCAGTATTTCCCGTCCTTTTAAATTGGATAGGGCTAGATTTTCCAAAAAGGTCCAAGTGGGAATTTTTCATGATTTACCGCCCCAGTCCCCGCCCCCGCACCTGTAAAAGTTCCTTCCTCAGCCCACGGGTACACTACCTCTTGATTCGGAAGCTCAAGAATTGTACGCGTACAGTATGAATTACAGAACTAATTCTTCTTTTATAGAGTATGGGTTATGTGGAAAACACCTCTATTAACTGTTGGGTACATCACAGGAGAGCATTTTAAAAATTGACTTAATGTCAAACCACTAGAATTGGCTAGCTGTGAAGACAAGATTAGCACTTGTTAATTTAGTTTACTAGAGTGTTAATGATCTTAAATTCATTGAATAGAGAAATTAAGGGAATCAGAAAAAAATTTAAAAATAAGTTTATACTAGAATTTTTTTCCTGTGTTTGCTTTACTTTGGTAGGCAAGTATTTACTTTGACAAATCTAAAGCCTTAATTATTTGTCAGGGGGAGGAGTTTGACCAGAACAAGTAAAACCTGTATCCCACTGCTTTTCCTGTGAGGGTGGGTAAATCCCCTCCCACAGGGCATCTTAATATGGCCTACTCTTTCTCAGAACTTCTGAGGACATCCGGGGTGGGGGAGGAGCAAGGGTGGTTTTCACTGCAGTTTTCAAATATCTGACGTGCAGTCACTTTCTAGTAATTGATTTTATTTTCTTAATTGTAGAAGAAATTTTCTCATGTCATCCCCTATTTTAGGGGTAACAATCTTTCAATGGGTAATAAATTATTGTAGTCGGTTATTGTTTGTAGTTTTCCTCTTTTGAGCTTTTCCACTACGGAAGGAAGCAATGACCATGTAGTGTTGCGTAGTACTCATTATAACTGCCTGAATCAGATGGACAAGTTGTGATACAAGGATAATTCCTTCTGAGAGGGCTAATGAACGCTGCTCTTTGGGAAGTTCGCCATGTTGTAGATATTTTCTGTATTCGGTTTGAATAATTAACAAATAATTATTGAATGCCAATTGATTGTAAAATGCTGTGGGGGAGGGGGCTAAAAATTAAATGATATAGTCTTTTTAAAAATGATATAGTCTTCTATTTAAAGGAATTTTCTGTTTACTATAGCAAATGAATGAACATACTCAAAGCAAAGCAAGTAGATAATTAATAAATGCTAATATGGGTGGTAATGGTGATAAGCTCAAAAATTCAACGAAAGGAGAAGTCTGGAGAGGTTTTTTGGAGGTGGTGAAACTTAAACATCTCTCAAGTGCAGCGTAGATTCTAGATAAGTGGAGGTGGTATAGATGGGAGAGGCTAACTAAAAATGATCTTAATGGTCATTCTAAGTGAGCCCATTCATTTTTTGAATGAGGAAATTGAGACACCATTAATTTTAAAACAACAAGCTGTCAAACTTTAAATTTAAATAGCAAAGGCTATTCAAGTAGCAACTGAGTTTATTTGAGAATAGCAGAGGGATTGCAATTTGGGACCTACAAACTATGGTGAACCATAGGCAAGTACAAAGAGATAAGGGAGGTCAGCTTTTATTGGGTTTCAAATTAGGAAGAGTTGTTTTGAACAGGAGCCTATTGGTGAAAAAGGAGAATTTGAGGTTGTGGCAGTTTTTTATTAGCAGAAACCGAAGAGCATTTACTGATGCTGAGGCAAGCAGGGAAGAAATCTTTCATCTTGCTGGCTATGTAAGTTTCCACGAGTGTTCAGAGCTCTCCCTTCATAGTTTCCTGACTCTAATTTGAATGTTTCCTCCATTCATTTTCATTCTCCACAACTTACTGCAACCAGGAGAGATGGAGATAGAGTCTAAATCAGCTGTTTAAGTGTCCTTCTAGTCACTATATTAACTGAGTGGCTACTATTAGGATTTAATATGTCTTACATAGTAATTCAATGCAAGGAACAGTCAAAAAGCAAGTAATCTGATGCAGAGCCTGTCCCATCTCTGATGTTTAGTATACAATGCAGGCAGGAGGATGTGTGAACATCAAGGCCTTTGCTGGCCTTCAAATGCTGGGCCACCCCTCATTCCTGGTTGCTACATACTTATTGACCATTTCTCACTTGTCCTTTGGAGCTGAGGTCACCAATTCAGATACCTTCAGAAGCCATTAGGTACCCAAATTGATTGAAGGAGGCCATACACAATGCCACAAAAACAGAAGGTGCTGAAAGGACAGTGAACTGGAGATGTTTGAAGGACGCAGTGGTTTTCAGGTACACCAAGTCCTTTCAGCTCCTGGGATTGGCAGTTTCTGCCCCTTTCAAATCTTGGGGAAAACTATCCTACCCTTAGACTTCCACCTCTATACTCTTTAGTCTCCAAAGTGCTTCCCCCGTCTTTGGAACAGCCTGGTTCATTTCAAATAGTGTGATCTGGAAGTAAGTAGAGTACCCTCCATCCTCCTGATATTCTCCTACCTCCAGTTCAAATCCCCCCTCTTTTGTTTTCCCCTTTAAGGTTTCTTTTCTTTTCTTTTACAATTACAGTTGGCATACAATATTATATCAGTACAACATAATGGTTAGACATTTCTATACCTTATGAAGTGATCATCCCAGTAAGATAGGACATTATACATGATTATGACAATATTATTGACTGTATTCCCTATGCTGTACTTTACATCTCCGTGACTATTTTTATAATTGGTCATTGTATTTCTTAATCCTTTTTATCTTCTTCACCCATTCCCCCCAACCTCCCATCTGGGGACCCTCAATCTATTCTCTGTATCTATGAGTCCACCACAGTAATTTGAAAAGCTTTGCCGGGAGCCGGTCCATGCTTGCTGTTTCAAGGGACCTGGCATATATGGCATACTGTTCTTAATATGTTTGCTCACCTTCTTGGCACTATGTGTTTTAACCAAGGTCTCCGAGAAAGGTTGTTTCCCCAGGTAGGGATTTTCCCCTGAAGTTAGGGAGGGAATAAAACCTCTTAACTAAGTGCCAGGCGGGTAATTAATCACTTTAACTACGAACAATCATGCTTAAGCTACATAATCTTTACTCCCTGGAATGGAGATAAGAAACGCCCTAACCTTTGTAATAGAGATTGATAGGATTGAATCAACTGGTATAAATACAGATGTAATAAGACAGCAAGACACAGAACTTAGAATACGGAACCAAGAGAGACAGAACCTAGGCACAGAACCTACACAGAAGTTCTCTAGAGACAGAAGAACTTCGCTGGAGAGAACATGGCAAAAGATCCTGGACAGAAACTGGCCTCAGAACCTAGAGACAGAACCTAGCGAGAGAACATGGCAAAAGATCCTGGACTGAACCTGACTACAGAAATTGGCAAGAGAACCTGACTAGAACCTGGTGACTGAACCTGGCTGGAGAACCTGGACAGAACCTGGCTGGAGAACCTAGCGAGAGAACATGGACACAGAACCTGGCTGGAGAACCTAGCGAGGGAACATGGTTACAGAACCTGGCTGGAGAACCTTGAGAACCTAGCAAGAGAACATGGACGCAGAACCTGGCTGGAGATCCTAACCAGAACTTCGCTAGAGATCCTGGCTAGGCTGCTGATCAACTGAACGCTGTCTCCGTGTCATTCCTTCTTCGCCGACTCCGTCCACACCTTTGGGGACCCCTGAACCCGCTGGGGTTGGACCCCAGCAAAGCTTGAAAAAATGTCCTGTCTACACAA